ATAAATATCGATTAACATTTGATTAAATTGTGTCTGCTCAGATGCCTTCTCCACTGCGTGTTATTTAGCTTGGTTCTCTTCTCTTTGCTTCCTTCACTTCGTTCATCTGATTGCCTGACCAGACCAACGAGTGTACAAAATATACGTATTCAAAAGTCCATTCTCGTATTTGACTTATTTAATTCCGTTATTCACTAACGCGATTTAAGTCGATGGTTATATACGAGGATTGGTGAAATATATATTTCGACAGCAATCATTCATTAACAATCATTTATACAATCTAGTTGCAATCAGATTCAGCACCACAAAAAATTACTCCGTAATGACACACAACAACCAAGATGAGTTCCTCATCTTATGCTCATACTGATCAACATCGAAGTTGTTTAGTGTGTAGTGACTCACATTTATCACGAGAACACGACTGGTTTAATAAAAACAATTATTATTATAACCAACTGTACCAGTGTTTGTTTTAACGTGCTTTTGTTTGACTGTGCTAATGACAGCTATTTTGTGTTTCCATTCTTATACTTACACTTTTGATTGTAACTTCGCGCGAATTCAGTTACGTTCTGCAACCAAGCTTGTATCCTGGCACGATCTCGGTATCCTTTCGATGCCACGAGATCGCCAGCGAATAAACCTCGACTTGGTCCATTAACTATCTTCTGATATTTGGCTTCTCGGGGATTTTATGGATCTATTTGGTTACGTCCAACCTTCGCCTTCTGATTTATCTGGCACGTGTTTCTTGGTAGCGGTGTTCACAGTTAATCTCAACTCGACGCCTCGCTACAATTGGTGATCCCAAAGTTTGGAACACGCCGCAACCTCTGGTCAAATCTTCCAAAGAAGCCAATTTAGTGAGTCTATGATTTATCTATCCACGTCTGTCGTATATTTTCATATTTTTTAATATATAATATACTCGACATGACGGATAACGATAAGAATAGTATTAATAAAATAGACTCCTATTTATGTGTACCGAATCCTTGTCACTTATTATTCGCGTGACGATGAATTCCACGCTTTATTCGAGAAATTTTCTCCTATTAGCTATTCTCCTCTCTGACCCGGCTGCTTGGTACGGAATGCATTCGCATACGCATTAGCGTCTACCTCCCAGCATCAAATGGTTAAGTTGAACGGTTTCACTGCCAACTTAAAAGTGCTCTACGAGCACACGAGAACGACAACTGGTACGAAACCTAATCGCTCGTCCCCTTAGGTATTCGAACGAGCTTGAAGGCAGATATACAATGTTCCGCCGCTGAACTGGTATACGGCACGACATTGCGTCTGCCCGGAGAATTCTTCACACCACGGAGCAGACCTGATTTCGGTAAACCAGACTACGTCCATCGACTGTCTGCATTTATGCGAACGCTGTCTCCGGTGTCAACTCGAATACAACATCGACAGGTCGCTCTCCCTCGAGAGTTAACTACCTGTCCACATGTTTTCATACGAGTAGATTCGGTACGCAAACCTTGGCAACAACCTTACGAAGGCCCTTTTCACGTGATCGCTCGTCACGAAAAGACCTTCAAGGTTGATCGACATGGCCGTGTCGAGACCGTCAGCGTTGATCGTCTCAAACCAGCACACGTCGATGACAGTGCCCTATCTGGTAACCTGAGATTCAATGCTTGACCTATCAAACCTAGCGAGATCCTTAAATCTTCTTCAGGTCCCACGCTAGATACATCTGAGACCTCATTCTCACGTCCCAGTCAACAGCACGCGTCATCTGCACCGTCTACGGACAAGACGACAGTCTCACGTCCAGATCAGCAGACCACGCCGCCCTTGACTTCGGATGAGATTGCAGGCTCATGCGACGCGAATGAGACTACCGTCTCACGTTCCGGTCGCCGAGTACGGTTGCCCGTACGTTTCCGCGACTAGCCGCACAGTTAACAACCGATACGGTGTAGGACTATTCCTATGCTACATGCATGCTACACTCTTCTCTTTTTTGCTTTTCTTTTTGTTTCCTGAGCCCACGACTTCGACCATCTCCGTTTGGTTCCGTCGACTTCAGTCAACTTTGGCGAAAGCTGGCCTGACCACCCATGCTCTTGTCAACGCAATCAGTCGATATATTGGTTTCGAACGCTTGCCACACGCTTGGTCTCGAACTTGGTCGTTACGGTCGCTTCTGGTCTTTTGGCTCAACGTGGTTTCGTCCTACGTCTGCAGCGTTTCTGGTGCGCACCTCTACGAACGCCCTCTTCAGATTCTGGATACAAACCACTCTGGTGTAGCATGCCAACTCAGGCAACAAATACAGCACATCGCTCCTGGTAACGTTCTCCGAAAACGACCTTCGTTGGCAACTCGACGATCAACGATCGCTTTCCTGTTCGCCAATTCTTCCGTCCTACAATCGCTCGTCAGCCGATCAGTCCCACGATTTAAACCGCTATTTGTCGAAAGTATAAACCCTTTCTAGCGGGGGGCTCCTGTAGTGACTCACATATATCACGAGAACACGACTGGTTTAATAAAAACAATTATTATTATAACCAACTGTACCAGTGTTTGTTTTAACGTGCTTTTGTTTGACTATGCTAATGACAGCTATTTTGTGTTTCCATTCTTATACTTACACTTTTGATTGTAACTTCGCGCGAATTCAGTTACGTTCTGCAACCAAGCTTGTATCCTGGCACGATCTCGGTATCCTTTCGATGCCACGAGATCGCCAGCGAATAAACCTCGACTTGGTCCATTAACTATCTTCTGATATTTGGCTTCTCGGGGATTTTATGGATCTATTTGGTTACGTCCAACCTTCGCCTTCTGATTTATCTGGCACGTGTTTCTTGGTAGCGGTGTTCACAGTTAATCTCAACTCGACGCCACGCTACAAGTGAATTTAAACAGTGTAACTTAATACAAGAAGAATTATAATATAAGTTATGATTAAAATGAAGGGTAATTCTGCATCGCAATGTTGATCATTTGAGGATATTGCGTTGGTGATACTTTTTTAGTGATAAATTATTTGACCAATTATGAATTTTAATTAAACATATATATATATGTAGATCTACACCTCTACATAATTTATGCAACAATCTTTAATAATAATTTTCTAATAAAACCGTAAGAACGACTTAGTACAGAAATTCGGTACGCAAACCTCTGCAACAGCCTTACAAAGGACCTTTTCAAGTGATTTCTCGTCACGAAAAGACCTTCAAGGTTGATCGACTTGGCCGTCGTTGAAAAAGTTGTAAAGACAACTAATAGTGCATTAAAATACCAACACACATGTAAAAATGCTGCTCTTTACTTACATTGTTAGTTACAAGAGTGTCTGAGATTTTGTCATGTAATCCATAATTATAGTTGGTAATTCCGGACACGACATGCATGATCCAAGGTAATGTATATCGGGAATAATCGAGTTATGAGGACGCTATTTGTATCCATAAATGTGTATAGCAATTACGTTACAGAACTGTTAACGTAGCAGCCGATAAAGTGAGAACGAGAAGCGTACGGGCAGAAATGGATCTGTCAGCGATAACTAGTATGTTATGCAAACACAAAACAAAACAATGACGGAAAAGTCGCGCCCGAATTCAGGCAACAGTTTTGCGATCAGAAACAGTGAATGTATAAACTATATGCAACTATGGAAAATGTGTAAGATGACAAAAGTTTAATACAAAACTAGTTTAACAGTAAAAGTCTTCGAAATAAATAGATCTGTGAGTTTCCGACATTGATGCTGACCTCGTTAATTTTACTGGACACAGCTAGCTGAAGGCGGTCGGTCACGCATAGACACCAGATCACGAGTAGACCGTGCTTCGCATCCCTTACAACTGCCAACCAACCTAGATTAAACGCCTCTTGGCATAACGATAGCCTCCCAAATATATTTTCGAACCACTTTATTTCTGACTTCTGATTTCACTGGGTTGGTTTACTTCCATTTTAAAGGTATTATGAGCAAAAGTGTTTTAAAACTCCGAATACTTGTGTCATCTTTACAAGTTAATGTAAGCCATCTCCATATTTTGTCAGAAAAATGAAAAAACGACGTCTTATGAATTCTTTCTTATACATACGCTTTCTGTCCTCTCTAGTTCTAATAGTGAATGGAGCGTCTAACTTATAAGCGTCTTCACGCTGTTCCGAGTTACGGGTATGTATTCGAAGTATGGGTAAGTAGTTCAGGATTGCTGTTTTTCTCACAAACGGGCATCAGATATGACGAAAAGATGCTCTGCAACCACACGGAAAGATGAATTTTGCAAAAAGTGCATTAAGAATTGTTTGATTAGCTCTTGCTTAAAACTCAAATAGATCTAGGTCACGGGTGTTTATAGGAATTGGTGTATTGGGTGGATTTACCTGTTATGTGCAATCTACAGTGACGGAATTGAATATTTGATGCTTTCAACACTATCAATCCATCCTACGTTGGCAAAGGTGACTTTTCGTTAGCATTTTACGCGTTTTCAGATGTAAACAACAGTGTTTCGAATACATGTTAAACGTAGCGTTTAGATTTACGCACACGAATTTCATCCTGACTGGCTCTTCAAATTGTATTTAAAGTTGTAACCGTACTTAAACACAAACGACGTACAAACTAATGGTCATGATATACAAACGTCACAATACATCGAAAGAAAAGGAGACACCACAGTCAATTGTGAGGGTTCTAACATCACAAAGATACAAGTTGATGCCCCTTCATGCTTTGATTTAGCACAGAGTTATCCAGTCCCTCAGAGATTACACTTCTAGAACCTCAGTTGAGCATGATCGGCTTATCTAGACATGTTGTAGCTATAATTTTCACGATTGAATTTGTATTGCAGCGCTACTTCCCCTTAGTGAGGCGGACTGTTTGGAGCTTACGGTTTCATGTACTCTTAGTAGGGGCTCGGGTTGTTGCAGGTATTGGGTTTGTTTTTGGCTGTTTCCTGGCCACTTATCAAATTGACAATCCTCCCTGCGTTTTTCAAATGGGTGAACGTAAGTCTGATGGTCAATGTGAGTCTAAGAGCTGTCGAATCCATTATACTCGAGTAAGTTTGTTCGACAAAATAATGTTCTACGCTATTAGGAAGAAATCCTGGCAGTTAAAGAAAATGCGGTTTCTACTGCTGAATTTTCGGACGAATTCTCTCGGATAAATGCTTCTGTTATGCGTTCAACTCGCGGAAGGCCTAGACCCAATTCTTTTTCTAAAACTCAGGGAGGTGGTACGTTAAGTAAATTCATTAACAAACGGTTTGTACAGAGAAGACTCGAGATGCTTCCAACATAGTCCTCGGTCCTCAAAAACGTTCGTGGAACACTGGTTGTCATGTCTCTCAACAGCCTCAAGGTCGTGAAACGTCAGATGCAAACAATTCTACTCGTTGGCCTAAATTTAACTCAGAAAACCGATCCTACGACAAGCAGCATTGTAAAACGACTAGTGACTACAAAAGAGAGTATCGGTCCAACGATATTCGTGGCTCCGGTCGAGGTCGTGATCGCGGGCTGGGAAAACATGCTGAAAGTGCTCCGTTTGTTAAAAACCACAGCAGAGAAGACCGTTACAGTCATGACCGTCGAATTTCTTGTTCGCACAGCGATGATGAACCTGAGTGGTTTGCAGAAGGTCCTACCACGGTTAACGAAACGATTGAACTTGGAGGAATCTTAGAAGAAACCGTGGAATGTGGCTCACTCAGAAAGTGCGTAGAAGTGGGAAATGATATTTCGCAAGTTGATGATAGTATATTGACAAATTCGAGCATTACTAATAGGAACGTCTTTGATGACAAAGCGTTGGAAGACGACAGCAATGCATTCCCTGAACAACCAAGCAAATCCACAACGAGTGTCACGGGTCAGGTGATGTCCGATAATCAAGGAAGCCGTTTCAAACACCTGTTTCAGAAGAGTGAGATATCAGATGAAAATAAGCTTCCGAACAAACCAGCTTCTTTAGACAATATCAACGAACAGTTACTTAGGTTGCTGAAAGGTTCGTGTGGAAATTCTGCCAATCATCTCATTCCTGAAAAGAACAGTGGTATGGTATCTACAAATCCTAATTCTTTTTCAACTCTTCAAGTTGAAAATAAGCTTCGCTCTATTCTACTTGGACATGGCCCTGTTAATCACCCGAATGTTGGGCCGGTCAAAGGTGAGTGCACCCTGATAATCATATAACTTAATTATTTAGAATCAAAACCAGCAGTACTAACTGTTGAAGAAATTGAAGCTCAGCTTAAATTACCTCAAGGAGATTCAACTGATATAAATGAATCAATCGATCCAATCGTTGATCCTCTTACTCATTATTCGGATCCTTTCATAGATGATCAAGCCATTAAATCTCGTGGCATACCTATTGGCTCATCAAAAAACTGTGGCTTGTTTTCTCAGTCAGGAACGACTTCCAATCTGGTGCCTATTTTGCAATCACTGATGATCAGGAAACAGCAAAACTCCGTCTACTCTCAGTCTACAAATCCGCAGAATTCACACTCACATTTTGGACTGGTCTCAAATTTTATGGTATGCAATCTTTTCTGTGGACATTAACTATCGATAAATTCTCACATGTTTACTATTTTCTTATTGGCTCAATACAATAGTTTGCGTTTGTTTCTTAATAGCTTGGTACTACCAATGAAGTACCTACTATGAATTCGATCATCTTGTGTTAATGAGGTGTGGCAGCTTAGACCGATGCATATATGTGCCTGGTCCTACTTTGTAGCTGACTGATTGACTGAACTTGGTATAACAATTTCATTTGCTCATCTAGCTAATTTTTTCTTTCTTTTAGGGAGATGCCACGTCTGCAGGTCCATGTATTAGTCGATTGCAAAACCCAGGTGTCCCCCTTGACGTACCTTGTGATGTCGATCTACCTTCGCATGGTATAGTGATTTTCCTTAAATTACTTTTTAGGTCCCCTTCGTCAAATTTGGAATGGCACGAGGGATGTTGCTTCTCACACAAGCCCACAACTGCACCCCTTAGGTAATAACAGCAGTTTTACTGAATCTAAGTTTAGGTTTGTATCCTGATGCATCTAGATGTCAAACTATTAAAACTCCGGACTCAGGATTACCTGGAAGACCTATAGTTAAGGCTCAACAAAATATTTTCGCTGATTACAACTCAAATAAACAGGCACCAAACTCTACTTTCAATAATAACCAAAGCCATTTGTCTGTCAATCCATCAGTTCACCAAGGTAGGTAATGCCGTTTCTGTGTATGTAGTTGTGAAGGTTAGTCGTATCTAAGATTACTTATCCTCTTACATGTGATACAATCTTAATGACTACATTGTGAAATGCAATTTCCATATAACTCATAATTGATTCCTTTTTGTTGGAAGTTTGACTAATTTGAACTGACATTGCTCATCTTACGTTTCGTTCATCTCATTTAGTTTTACGAAATGGCAAACCTTTCACTCGAAGCATTAAACTAAGATTGATGCCTGAGTAATTCTTATCATAATGCCTATTCATAATCAAAGCCATACTACTTCCCGAACATGAATACTACAGTAGTAAGCTGTTTCCCATAAGCATTATGTTCTGTTCCCTTGTCATTTGCTTTCTGTTCTTAGGAGCAAAATTATCAATTAACAGTCATCTCCAAAGTGTGTAGCTTCGTCATCAGTATTCTTTTAAAGTCTTATCATTTTGCTTCGTATCTTGCATCTAGCTTCAGCCCTGTTTACTCGGTGGTTCCAGCATTCTTTAGCAATGCTTCATAGTTACTTTTAATCAAGTAGTAACAACCGGATATTTGATTTTTCAGGTCAGTTTTCACAGCCATGAGGCTAAGATGAAACCAGTTGCTGTTCAGCTTACTCGTTCTTGTTTTGCAAACAGACATCTTACCTACACCACGGGTGACTCATGCTGACAAAAGTCAAGCGAGCCTTCCGAATCCGTGCCGGTATCCCGTCAAATACCAACTAAACAGGACTGATGAGACTCCTGGAACAGATGGTTAGGACGCTAAACTACTTTACTTCAATGAAAATGACAAAAGCTGTCGAATAGCACTTAAAGTCGAATATTTTGATAATTGTTCCTCATATATTTGAGCTTAACCAACATTGCTGAAGTAGTGAGCCTTCGTCTGTGTTCCAAAATGTGAAAGTCAATATCCGATTTAAATATCGACGTCCAAATCTGAAACCCGTTGGATTTGTTGTTTACAAACCCTAGTTCGGTGTTGGTTAATTATTGAAGCTAATATCCTAGTCAAACTAATTCCTATTCAGCTATCACAAGAGAATTTCCATCCTTGCTTACACTTTGGGGCCAGGTGGATGAGATTATGTTCCTTTACCAGACTCGCTGGTGTTTCAGTTTGTCGAATTGGTTAACCTAAACTATCCTAAAAGAGTTTAACGCATCATAACCCACTAAAATCCCTCGCTTTAAATTAACTTTACTCCTGTCAACTGTATTAAAAGTTGGGAGGAGCCTATTTAAATCTACCATTTTCCAATTAGGCCCTCAATATAAATGAGTTGCATAATTATTATAACTTAGACCCAAGTTGTGATTGACAATTGCTTCAGCCAGGTAATGTGACATTTTGGAGAGTGTTGCAAACGACTCTAGATTTTGGTGTTGGGATCGAAAATTTTTGTTATTTCTAACTAATGAATTTTAACCCCTCTCATCTGTGTAAAATAAATTGGTAGATATGCTAGTTTTCTACATTAAACACAGTTACTACCAACGTCCTTGTAAAGTCTGTAGTACGATTTCAACCTTGAACCGAAAAGTGAGTAGTCACTGTAAAGACATATCCATACTCTGATCTGATCGTTTACATATTGCATACAACGAACCTAGGTGAGTTATACTGCGTTAGAGCAAAATTAACTCTTGGTTTACTGCAGTTAATTCATGTTTTATGAATATTTTTAACTTTTTGTAATTATTATCTTCAGACTCTAGCCATCGTCTGCTTGATATGAATGTGAAGCAGTTCTACCTTGGCAGTATTGAGCCCTCAAATCTAAATAATTCTCATGGATCTTTACCGTGTTCAAAACAAAACTATGGAAATTTATTGCCGTTCCAAAGCTCAAGCCCATCACTAGCGTCATCTATTAATTGGAATAAGAATTCCTCTGCTCAACACCAAACTAAGGTTAATGAATCTCTAACTAGTAATGGAAGTTTGACTTTGTTATCACAACTAGTTGAATGGGAAAAATCAAAACAACCACTTAGATCTAATCCATCCTTTAATCCAACGAAGGCGAAAACGCTAGAAGAAATAGAACAAGCAGAGTCTTCAAGAACTAATATATTCTTTTGAATTTGCAAAACTCGTGTACCTAGATTAGAGACTCCCAGAAATTTCGTCGGGTTAATTTCATTCCTTACCAGATCTTGTAAATTTATTTTCTATATAAGATCTGCGTAGTTTTCGCATGTGCGGAAACAGTGTACATAATTTAATTTTCTTCACAAGATTGCGATATACTTGTTTGCGTAACTATTTAATTCTGTCAATACTTTTCTGTGAATATTTCCCTTTATACTGGAATTCCAGTAACAGATCCCTTTTGGTTTCCTAAAATTGCACTTCAGATGTGCTCAGTTTATTCTCATTTTGCCTTATTTTGTTGAATAACCACAGTTTATGCATTTCTTTCTGACAGTTTCGTGTTTTGTCGTTACTGAAGTTCGAAAATAAAAAAAATGTTTCTTGGATACGTGTATATCTAAAAAAACATTTGTCTCAATAAATAAAAGTTAAGTCAGGAAATTTTTTCGTAGTTGAGATATCTATTAAACCTAGTCGTGAATGTGATTGTGCAATATGAACTGAAGCTCTTAATTGTTACTCGAATAGATCTAGTTGGACGTAGTGAAATACTGAGGATGGACAAACTGGTAAGTGAAGTCTTGACAAGTGTTTAGGACGCACTACACGTTTTGTAAATAGCACTCAAGTACAAAGTACTTCGTGTTTCGATAAATTTAAATTATTAAATTAAATATTTTTGCCAGTTTCCGAAATATGAGGTTATTTAACTGAGTAACTAGATATATTCACTGTTTATGTACAAGGATCAGTTGACATTTTAATGTTGGGAAGTAAACTTGTTTTAGTCTAACGATCCTACTAACCTGTGCTATGCGTGGCATCACACCTAAACCGTACATTAGTTATGTTAGAGGGGAGTGTTTTCCGAAACGATGAGAGTTAGGATAAAAATGTAATAGATGTAGGATCACTGTTGAAATAAAAGTAGTGGACAATTTGCACTTACCAAGGATTTCTGTACAAAATTTTTAGCTTGTAACATTCAGTTTATTTGTAATAGTAAGATTACATTGAAAGTTACATCTACATTTTACTAGAAGAGGATCAGAGTGATAGATTCTGACTTCACATTGATATACAACATAATGGCAACGAGGAATTTTGTTTAATTAGAAATAGTCTGGTTTTTTAAGTAAGTGTATTTTTCGGTATGTCGTCTGCTAACACTTTCCTGAAAAAGTTATTTTGGAGAGTTTTTTAAATTCGTTATTAGGCGTCACATAAAACTATGATTCCATTTCAAATAGACAAGGGTGTCGATTTTTACGGAACTATATTAGCAAATTTAAAAGATCGTCTGTTGGAAAAAGTTAATAAACAATGAAAGTCCTATAATCTATCGCTTATGGATTTAAAAGTGCATATTACTTAGTAGTTTTTGAGTCAGGATAAAACAAATTTACAATCATTTTTCTATTTTAAAATGGTTTCCTAACTAGTTATGTATCTATCCATGAGCCACATGATGAGAACTGTTAGTTTTTCTTCTGTCAACAAAAGTGTAAGATATTTTGTGTAATCCACAGTGTAACTGTGACCACATATTTCAGATTGAAATTGATATCCATTAATTTTTGATTTCCAGTGAAATCTGTCCATGGTCTTTTCCATTCATTCCGTCGTCATAAGTTTTCGTTTTTTCTCTTCGCGTATAAATAAAACCAGTACGCTAGCTATAAGTCGTCAGATTCACTAAACTGGATTTGTCACACGTCAACTAATTAGTACTACACAAATAAAATTTCTGAAAGTTCATATATTCTTGATCTAATTAGGTTTCATAAATTTAAAATCCTAACCATTTCGTCGAACCTAGACTTATTGACAGACTGTTATGTATCCCAGTTCTTTTTCGTAATATTTATTACGAATATTTCTATCTGTCGAAGTTAATTCAAACATCCATGAGTAGTAAGTAATCTGTTAGAATAAAGCGTTGAATAAATTGTTCTGTAATATATATGTATATGGCTTAGTGGTTAAAGTTTTTAACTAACTGTCCTCTCCCTACTTCAGTTTCGAAAACCGGGTTGTGGTATTAGCTCTCACACTCAAAGTGTGATGAGTGGCTAAAATTCGTAGTTCTTTAGGCATGCAATAACGACCGTAGTACATGTTTCGAAATGGAGTATGTTGACACTTGCTAGGCTATAGTCGTGTACATAAGTATCTTTACAACAATTGAGCATTGTCTTTTAAGTATGGTCTTTGGAATAAAGGGAACAAATATTGTGGTATGAAGTAGACTCATTTAATTTAATACGCTTTAAATATTTACTTATTAATTCCAATATGAAATGTAGTTTTGCATACTGAAGTCGTGGAATAATAAAATAGTACATGATTCTGAGGATTTTCCTCATCCACACATGTTCAATCCATATAAAAGAAATCGATCATAGCAAACAAAATATCAATTAAAAATGTAGGCAAGTTGGTATAATTTTTTACTAATCATATAGACGATAATGAACTGCTCATAGTAGTTTGTAAATATGTTTAAGAAGAAAAGCGGTACAGTAGCTCGTACGGAAACATTTTCATTAGAGAAATCATGTGTCTAGTGATAATACCGTACAACAGCTTAGATCGTAACTAAACTAAGTAAGAAATGCATCAATCAAATTGAATGAAGTACGATGACGAGATAAATAATTTCTATAAAGTAATGGAAGCATTCGTTAAAAAATGTTAAATTAGTAAAGCGATGCTCGTTAATCTATTAGCCACCTTTGTACAACAAGAAAATTTGGTTTCAGACGACGTGTTTGTGTAAAAGGGGGGGCAGAAATTTTTATTATACAGATATCTACTTAATAAAGTAGTTTAACTATAAATGAGATCATGTTAACTTCACTTATTGTGATATTTGATTCCAGTATTATTGTTTTATTCAGACGCGTCCATATAAAAATTTTACAGTCAGTATCACAGGACTGTATATGGATTCGATAATCGCCGACTACGGCATCCAATTAATATAACATATACAGCAGATTAAATTATGTACTCCTAGTTTAAATTAATCCTATCGATTCTCTTTGAAAATATTAAAACCATTCTGCAAATTACAAATAAATATTCTCTTAAGGTTGACCGAATGCATAATCTTTAAGGTGAGCTCGTGAAGCACGGAGTAGGTCATTGTAAAATAATAAGATAAGGTGTGACCGATGTTTTCTTCTAATTCTGAGATAGGCAATAGAACTTTTTTGGTTTCAACAATTCACGGTGTATTCAGGAGCTGGCCATACATCTGACCATTCTTGTTCTTAGTTTATTGTGTTGATTATCCTTTACAGAGGAAAAGTAAGTTTACTCCTTTCTTCATTTTCAAAAGACAATATCATTTGTATGAAACAAATAATATTGTCTTCCAAACAATCACATTAGGAATTCTTTTAGGAATTATACTAGTTCAACAATGAATCCTCATGAGGTATAATTATGATATTGTATTGATTTAATTTAAATTGACAGTTAACCTTGATTGATTCCAGATCTAGAGTAGTAAATCTTGATTTACTATCCCAAATACGTAATGGCAAAAATTTTAATTGCCAGTATATTATTTTAAACAATCATTCCCTTTAAAAAAATATATAGCTGGAACAGGTCATAAGACTGAATTAAATCCAGTCATTTTAGTTTGATATAGGAGTGATCTAGAGAGTGTATTTAAATTTATTAAGCTATTAATCATGCGAAAATTCGGATCCTCTTGTGTATTGAAAAATACTTACATTAAACTTATTCTGTTATTATTGATTTCAACAACAATTGTGATATGACTGGTGATTTTTTTTCTTATTCTCCTTGTTCTTTGTCTTCATTTGTTTAGTTTGACCTTTTTAATTTGTATAAAAGTATTTTAATATGTGATCAAAATATAATCTAACATGTCATGATCTAATGTTGTAGAATGATTCAGATAAATTTTATCTGATCGGTACAATATTCAAAATTCATATCAAATCAATGTTATGTAATACTCCTTAAATAAGATGCCCTATACAAACGGGGAAAGTGTAATGTACATTGTTTAGTATCATGTCATTAATTTATGCTAAATAAAAAGGTTTTTAGTTGAAACACGTTTTAAATAAAGAGGGCAAAATACATATTATTAAACAGGTTTTCTCCAGATACCGGGATGCATTATATATTGTACCTTAATAACGAACAGAGCCAAATACAGTAATGGTCGAAAGGGACAGTATACTTAACCTTAGCCAACATTATGTATCGCTTAAACTTTAAGCAGATAGAAGCGATATTCGGTAGTTCATAGTTCAATTATGTTAAATATCAAATAGTATCATGTAGAATGAAGTTAAACATGTAGTGTATGTCGAAATGAAACAAACTCCTGAAATTCTAATTTTTTTTGTTGATAATTAAACTTTTGATACTAAAGTATATCACTTGAAAATATCATTTTAAAATTTTCTTACTAATGGAGTAAATATGCCGACCTCACTTAATAATAATTACAACTTAAATACGTTTCCAGTTACTTAACAGAAATATCTGTGATTGGGACCATGGGTAACGGAGGCATATAACAGAGAAATTATTTACTCATAGTTACAACACAACTTGGTCATGATTTTCAATCTTGAAGGAAAATTTCCTAATCCATTGACTTCATACCTCTAAAAAGAAATACACTATGGTGTCCTTCCAACTAATCTAGTGGGAAAATTGCATTCTTTGATTGATATACCTTGATTAGGATTTATAGTCTCCCTACAATACCACTTATTTGAAGACCGATTTTCATATTCACATTTTTGTTGGATTTTCTCAGCGCATAAATGGGATTTACACCTATTATAAACGGTCTCATAGATGAATAACTGTATTTTTCACAACAGCACAAAAACAAATGATCAGAAGTGATCACATATTAACTCAACGGGTCTAACCAAAGGACGGGTTTACTGCACAGCAGTTCGTTCTGATAAGAGTAGAGGATATTCGTA